GTCGACAGTATGTACTCCATACATCACTTATATGTCGACAGTATGTACTCCATACATCACTTATATGTCGACAGTATGTACTCCATACATCACTTATATGTCGACAGTATGTACTCCATACATCACTTATATGTCGACAGTATGTACTCCATACATCACTTATATGTCGACAGCATGTACTCCATACATCACTTATATGTCGACAGTATGTACTCCATACATCACTTATATGTCGACAGCATGTACTCCATACATCACTTATATGTCGACAGTATGTACTCCATACATCACTTAAATGTTGACAGTATGTACTCCATACATCACTTATATGTCGACAGCATGTACTCCATACATCACTTAAATGTCGACAGTATGTACTCGATACATCACTTAAATGTCGACAGTATGTACTCAATACATCACTTAAATGTCGACAGTATGTACTCCATACATCACTTATATGTCGACAGTATGTACTCCATACATCACTTATATGTCGACTGCATTTACTCAATACATCACTTATATGTCGACAGTATGTACTCCATACATCACTTATATGTCGACTGCATTTACTCCATACATCACTTATATGTCGACAGTATGTACTCCATACATCACTTAAATGTCGACAGTATGTACTCCATACATCACTTATATGTCGACAGTATGTACTCCATACATCACTTATATGTCGACAGCATGTACTCCATACATCACTTATATGTCGACAGTATGTACTCCATACATCACTTATATGTCGACTGCATGTACTCCATACATCACTTATATGTCGACTGCATGTACTCCATACATCACTTAAATGTCGACAGTATGTACTCCATACATCACTTATATGTCGACAGTATGTACTCCATACATCACTTATATGTCGACTGCATGTACTCAATACATCACTTAAATGTCGACAGTATGTACTCAATACATCACTTGAATGTCGACTGCTTGTACTCCATACATCACTTAAATGTCGACTGCATGTACTCGATACATCACTTAAATGTCGAGAGTATGTACTCGATACATCACTTAAATGTCGAGAGTATGTACTCGATACATCACTTAAATGTCGAGAGTATGTACTCCATACATCACTTATATGTCGACAGTATGTACTCCATACATCACTTATATGTCGACAGTATGTACTCCATACATCACTTATATGTCGACTGCATGTACTCAATACATCACTTAAATGTCGACAGTATGTACTCAATACATCACTTGAATGTCGACTGCTTGTACTCCATACATCACTTAAATGTCGACTGCATGTACTCGATACATCACTTAAATGTCGAGAGTATGTACTCGATACATCACTTAAATGTCGAGAGTATGTACTCCATACATCACTTAAATGTCGAGAGTATGTACTCAATACATCACTTAAATGTCGACAGTATGTACTCCATACATCACTTATATGTCGACAGTATGTACTCAATACATCACTTGAATGTCGACTGCTTGTACTCCATACATCACTTAAATGTCGACTGCATGTACTCGATACATCACTTAAATGTCGAGAGTATGTACTCGATACATCACTTAAATGTCGAGAGTATGTACTCCATACATCACTTAAATGTCGACAGTATGTACTCCATACATCACTTATATGTCGACAGTATGTACTCGATACATCACTTAAATGTCGACAGTATGTACTCAATACATCACTTAAATGTCGACAGTATGTACTCCATACATCACTTATATGTCGACAGTATGTACTCCATACATCACTTATATGTCGACAGTATGTACTCCATACATCACTTAAATGTCGAGAGTATGTACTCAATACATCACTTGAATGTCGACTGCTTGTACTCCATACATCACTTAAATGTCGAGAGTATGTACTCAATACATCACTTATATGTCGACAGTATGTACTCGATACATCACTTAAATGTCGACAGTATGTACTCCATACATCACTTATATGTCGACAGTATGTACTCCATACATCACTTATATGTCGACAGTATGTACTCCATACATCACTTAAATGTCGAGAGTATGTACTCAATACATCACTTGAATGTCGACTGCTTGTACTCCATACATCACTTAAATGTCGAGAGTATGTACTCCATACATCACTTATATGTCGACAGTATGTACTCGATACATCACTTAAATGTCGACAGTATGTACTCAATACATCACTTAAATGTCGACAGTATGTACTCCATACATCACTTATATGTCGACAGTATGTACTCCATACATCACTTATATGTCGACAGTATGTACTCCATACATCACTTAAATGTCGAGAGTATGTACTCAATACATCACTTGAATGTCGACTGCTTGTACTCCATACATCACTTAAATGTCGAGAGTATGTACTCCATACATCACTTAAATGTCGAGAGTATGTACTCAATACATCACTTGAATGTCGACTGCTTGTACTCCATACATCACTTAAATGTCGAGAGTATGTACTCCATACATCACTTATATGTCGACAGTATGTACTCGATACATCACTTAAATGTCGACAGTATGTACTCAATACATCACTTAAATGTCGACAGTATGTACTCCATACATCACTTATATGTCGACAGTATGTACTCCATACATCACTTATATGTCGACAGTATGTACTCCATACATCACTTAAATGTCGACAGTATGTACTCAATACATCACTTGAATGTCGACTGCTTGTACTCCATACATCACTTAAATGTCGAGAGTATGTACTCCATACATCACTTAAATGTCGAGAGTATGTACTCCATACATCACTTAAATGTCGAGAGTATGTACTCAATAAATCGCTGAAATGTCCACTGTATGTACTCCATACATCACTTATATGTCGACTGCATGTACTCCATACATCACTTAAATGTCGAGAGTATGTACTCCATACATCACTTAAATGTCGACAGTATGTACTCCATACATCACTTATATGTCGACTGCATGTACTCGATACATCACTTAAATGTCGACAGTATGTACTCCATACATCACTTATATGTCGACAGTATGTACTCCATACATCACTTAAATGTCGACAGTATGTACTCCATACATCACTTAAATGTCGACTGCATGTACTCCATACATCACTTATATGTCGACAGTATGTACTCCATACATCACTTATATGTCGACAGTATGTACTCCATACATCACTTATATGTCGACAGTATGTACTCCATACATCACTTATATGTCGACTGCATGTACTCCATACATCACTTATATGTCGACAGTATGTACTCCATACATCACTTAAATGTCGACTGCATGTACTCGATACATCACTTAAATGTCGAGAGTATGTACTCCATACATCACTTAAATGTCGAGAGTATGTACTCCATACATCACTTAAATGTCGAGAGTATGTACTCCATACATCACTTATATGTCGACAGTATGTACTCCATACATCACTTAAATGTCGAGAGTATGTACTCCATACATCACTTAAATGTCGAGAGTATGTACTCCATACATCACTTGAATGTCGACTGCTTGTACTCCATACATCACTTAAATGTCGAGAGTATGTACTCCATACATCACTTATATGTCGAGAGTATGTACTCCATACATCACTTATATGTCGAGAGTATGTACTCCATACATCACTTAAATGTCGAGAGTATGTACTCCATACATCACTTAAATGTCGAGAGTATGTACTCCATACATCACTTGAATGTCGACTGCTTGTACTCCATACATCACTTAAATGTCGAGAGTATGTACTCCATACATCACTTATATGTCGAGAGTATGTACTCCATACATCACTTGAATGTCGACTGCTTGTACTCCATACATCACTTAAATGTCGAGAGTATGTACTCCATACATCACTTAAATGTCGAGAGTATGTACTCCATACATCACTTGAATGTCGACTGCTTGTACTCCATACATCACTTAAATGTCGAGAGTATGTACTCCATACATCACTTATATGTCGACTGCATGTACTCCATACATCACTTAAATGTCGACTGCTTGTACTCCATACATCACTTAAATGTCGAGAGTATGTACTCCATACATCACTTAAATGTCGAGAGTATGTACTCCATACATCACTTGAATGTCGACTGCTTGTACTCCATACATCACTTAAATGTCGAGAGTATGTACTCCATACATCACTTATATGTCGAGAGTATGTACTCCATACATCACTTGAATGTCGACTGCTTGTACTCCATACATCACTTAAATGTCGAGAGTATGTACTCCATACATCACTTATATGTCGACTGCATGTACTCCATACATCACTTAAATGTCGACTGCTTGTACTCCATACATCACTTAAATGTCGAGAGTATGTACTCCATACATCACTTATATGTCGACTGCATGTACTCCATACATCACTTAAATGTCGAGAGTATGTACTCAATAAATCGCTGAAATGTCCACTGTATGTACTCCATACATCACTTATATGTCGACTGCTTGTACTCCATACATCACTTAAATGTCGAGAGTATGTACTCCATACATCACTTATATGTCGACTGCATGTACTCCATACATCACTTAAATGTCGACTGCTTGTACTCCATACATCACTTAAATGTCGAGAGTATGTACTCCATACATCACTTAAATGTCCAGAGTATGTACTCCATACATCACTTAAATGTCGAGAGTATGTACTCCATACATCACTTAAATGTCGAGAGTATGTACTCCATACATCACTTATATGTCGACTGCATGTACTCCATACATCACTTAAATGTCGACTGCTTGTACTCCATACATCACTTAAATGTCGAGAGTATGTACTCCATACATCACTTAAATGTCGAGAGTATGTACTCCATACATCACTTAAATGTCGAGAGTATGTACTCAATAAATCGCTGAAATGTCCACTGTATGTACTCAATATACATCACCTAAATGTCGACTGCATCAAACTAACTAACTCACTCACTCACTCACTGTTTCAGTTCTCCGCTACCAGTGGTTCAAGGACAGCGCAGCCCATTTTGTACGGCCCAACCTCAATCAATACATGTTCATCTCCAACAACGGGAAGTTGTATTTCTCGGAGACCCAGCAGTCTGACGCCGGAGCCTATCACTGTGTGGTCACACTCACCGCCCCGCTCGGACAGACAGTCGCCACCACCCAGCCCCCCAGCCGGACCAGCCTCGGCATCCAGCTCATTGTCGTAGGAGAGAGTACGTGGAAACCACAATTTATAACCCATATGATAATGATCATGATCATTAATATTACAATTGTCATCATTACCATCATCATCATCATCATCATCAACATAAACTATTACCCTCGGAAGTCTGTAAAACTATTTTAACAGACCCTTTGCAGAGACTTGCATTCTTGTCCATCGATAGAAAGTATTTTATATTATTTAATGTTCATGAATAAGAAAGACTGACGTGTATTTAATGTAACAATAAAATGAGGTTAATGTACATATGTAGAAAGACAAGGTGTCATGAGCTGTCAAGCTATTGTAGCTATACATGGAGTCAGCTCTGGTACAACCTGTGTTCTGTCAACATATCGACCACCTCTGTACCAGACTGCCGTCGTCACAGGGTGCAGTCGGTCGGTTTGCTTCATGCCCTCAATGCTAGAGCAAACGTAATAAATTTCAAAAAAGATCATTATTTGATATTACTGTTCAGTCAACAATGCTAGATGAACATGAAACGTGTCATTTTACACATTAGTAGACTGTCCAAAGGTTTAAAGTGGTGAAAATAGTTTCGATATTGAGGTGAGTTGTCATATATTTGTCGGGCCACACGAGGTAATCCCTCACGGATCTACGTGAGTTTTCTCAACACGTAAATGTCTACTGACACTTACATTTCTAAAATGACCAGCTTCAGAAGCTATTAATAATTTCAATATCAAAATACGCTGAGAGAAATCAGAGTAGAGTGAGATCCCCCTGGACATCGCCTATACGTACGCATCACACATGACGACAACAATAGGATCACCTATTGCAGAGTGAGTGAGTGAGTATGGTTTTACGCCGCTTTTAGCAATATTCCAGCAATATCACGGCGGGGGACACCAGAAATGGGCTTCACACAGTGTACCCATGTCGGGAATCGAACCCGGGTCTTCGGCGTGACGAGCTTTAACCACTAGGCTACCCGACCGTCCCACCTATTGTAGAAGAGCAACTGACAATATGCACCCTTTTCAGTAGTATTATTGTAAGGAATTATTACCTAAACTCACACTTAATGAATAAACCATTTTCCTGGTCGTTACTCTCACCAGATACTCTGGCAAGGAGCATATAAACATTCGTCACGCAATGATATTCAGGCAGGTTACCACAGATCTGGTTACCTGTGTAAATTAACATTGATTGGCGAGTGTAGGTTTCTATTTAACTGTCATAAAGGCTTAGGACGTAGATAGACACAGAACAGGAGATTCGTACAGTTTGTAATGGAACCTAGCGTTGGCAATGTACGCCTCTCTCTGTTCTCTCTGTGTATTCTCTCTCCCTGTTTCTCTCTCTCTCTCTCTCTCTCTCTCTCTCTCTCTCTCTCTCTCCCTCTGTTCTCTCTCTCTCTGTTCTCTCTCTGTTCTCTCTCTGTTCTCTCTTCCTGTTCCTCTGTATTATAAGGCCGGGCTTCACACAATGTACTTTGGAGGAAATCGAACCGAATATTAGGAGTTAGCGACGCTTTCACCACTAGCCTAACCAAACATCCAGCAGAATACAGAATGCTTTAGATCCAAGCAAACAAAAGAGTTTACTGATTTCTGATGTCTCACCCAAGCCTGTGGGTAAAATGTTCGCTCGTCACGCCAAAAGTCCGGGTTCGATTCTTACATTTGTGAAAAACATTTTGGTGTCCCTCGAACGGACATTGTTGGAATATTGCTAAAGGTGGCGTTGTACCGTAATCACTCACGCATTGGAGACATTTGTAACGTCATCCATTTATATCCATTCCCTTGCTTGAGTCCTTCAGTATATGGAATAACATATCTCCCACTAATTCTCACTGATATATATTTCATTGTCTAATATTAACACTATTATTCGCTGTCTGTATATGGTTTATTGAAAGTGCGTCGTGAATTGGACAATATTTGCATTATATTTGCACAATCCATTTGAGCTTTCAATGTATATGTTTTGAACAATTAAGATAAAATGTACCATTACTGTTCTGTTTCAGCTGCCAACGACTTCGGCCCCACCATCCACAACGACTTCCCCGCCGTGTTCCCCAGCCCGCCCATCCGTGGCGAGGACATCAGATTAGAGTGTCTAGCATACGGACGGTACGGACCTTCATGACATTCCACCTTTCATACGTCAATACGTTAGAGAACAAATCGTTGGGGGAAAACTGATCAATTTGAGACACGGCAGAAAATGTAGAACAGCACTGAACATCGCAATGATAACCCCAAAGTTTTACACATAAAGCTTGATGCTTCTGATCTCAGGGTTTGGGACAATTTTCACTTCCATGTAAGCGCTTACGCTAAATGTGTCTGTGACGTAAGGACCACCAATGTTCTCTGCGATGTCAACGCTTTTGTAATTCCCATATGTATATGTAGGTTTAGGTTAATCGTGCAACAACACCGTGTTTCACAACTGACCGTAGAGATAAGCCTGTCGTACGTCCATGTTGAACGAAAGTGCATATTTGCGTTGCTGGAAAGTCCACACTAGCTGAGCATCTTTTAGAGCATGGTCCTTTTGTAAAAAAACATCACCTTGACCTCCTTCAGCCTCCCCTTGTACTACTCCTGGACGCGAGATGATGCTCCGATGGCTGGCAATGTGCGGTATAGTGACCTCAACCGCGTCATGGTCATCCCTAACGCCGCCGTTGAGGACAGCGGCAACTACACCTGCCACGTGAAGAGAGGATCTTCCTCCTCGGATTCCAAGAGCTTCTACCTCAACATAGAAGGTATGCCATTAGGAAGGGTGACAATTAAATAGGCAGTGATTTGTACGTCGAATACAATACGTATAACAAGAACCTCGCTTTGTGAAAAATATATCAGGTATTGATAGGAGCCTGCAATTTAACTATCCAGTTGGACTTGGATTTTTGTTTACAAACAGGATATATTTTCGTCACTGCTTCCAGACACGACCCTATCCCCGGATTCAAATGTTTAAAATTATTATAGTAAAATATGAAAATACTACGATGGCATTGATGCAATATTTTGTGCAATACTATGACTAATCAATAATGCCAACTATTGACAACAAGATGAAGAAGCTATGTTTCATTTTTCTTTGGTGCTGATACTCACTTCTCACAATGTATTGATATAGTTACATGGGAATCTGATATACTGATATTTTCTGCTTATGTACTTACACTAAAGCCTTACCTTGATTGTGTCATCTGATCTAACCTTTTGTACTGTGTGAATGGCATGACACTGGTGCTACTGTCTTTTATTGTATAGATGTACAGGTAATATGAGTTTGTGTGAATACCTTTGATTAATTATGTATAATCTTCGGATTAACTTCTGGAGGAAATAAAGAATCTCTCTCTCTCTCTCTCTCTCTCTCTCTCTCTCTCTCTCTCTCTCTCTCTCTCTCTACGATGACATTGATGCAATATTTTGTGCAATACTATGACTAATCAATAATGCCAACTATTGACAGCAAAACCATACTTCATCTTCCCGTTGAGAGACCAACACCTTGATATTGGCAGTCAACTCACATGGAGATGCGAGGTCATAGGTCGCCCACGTGCTCAGTATTCGTGGTACAAGAATGGCCAACTGATCACGGTAAGATTTAGGCCCACAATATAGTTTCACTTTACTCAAATAACATTTCAGAAACCTAACCTCTGGTTGTTCTAACGAGAAAAAACTTAGATCGTGGAATCCCGTTTGCCTTGCCAGGATCCGCTATCGTTGGGTTCGAATCCAAGATTCACCACCCCCCTGGTCATCAGGTTAACTGGGTAAATCATCTACGACCTCTTTGTTTGTTTGTTGTTTAAAGTCGCCCTCAGCAATATTACAGCTATATGACGGCGGTCTGTAAATAATCGAGTCTGGACCAGACATTCCAGTGATCGATATCATGAGCATCGATCTAGGCAATTGGGATACGATGACATCAACCAAGTCAGCGAGTCTGACCACCCGATCCCGTTATTCGCCTCTTACGACAAGCATAGTCGCCTTTTACGGCAAGCATGGGTTGCTGAAGAACTATTCTACCCCGGATCTTCACGGGTACATCTTCGGCCTGCATCACTTTGACCTGTCCTCCCACATCAAGCTGACGCCATAATACAACTGAAATAAAGTTCAAATCGGCCTTGAACCCAAACTTACTCTTCACGTTTTGCATAGAGATCTGTTTGTTTTTGAGATTGTTTTGAAGTGGTTTGAGGACCATACTTCATAGACTGCTCATGGTTTGCTATTTAAATACAAATATAACCGAGGGTCCTTTTTCCTCAAACGGCATCGCTACTGGAATTCTTGGATAATACACAAATTGTTATACTGTTGAGGAAGCAATTCTGGAGAATCCGAACCGTTTACATGGGGAATCAGAGATAGAATAGCCCCCATTCTTGTTGAGTCTGACCGTACACGGAGACGTGGTCGCTGCTCATGCTATCAAATACATTTGCCTTGACCAGACTCGGATTATTTACAGCCCCCGTGACACTGGACTGTGGCGTTAAACAACATTCACTCACCCCAGGTGTTGCTCTTTCTATACCTGTATCAGTAACGCCTGGTGTTTTTGTTTCACTCTAAATCAGAGGCGAAAATCTTGATAAATATATTTGATGATCGTTATTAAACTCTGTGACGTTTCTTCTGTAGTCTGTACCAGGGGACGTGGAAGTCAACAAGAACGTGCTCGTGATCACATCTGCTCAACCCTCGAAACACAATGGAATGTACCAGTGTGCTGCAGAAAATCTGCATGGTTCCACATACAGTAGCGCTGAGCTGCGAGTTCTAGGTAGGTCCATTTCAAGGGGATCATGCAAGGCGTGCTCCTTCTGTGTTGATGATTATGTCAAACTGTCCTGGAACAATCCGCATTGATTTACGACAGTCGTATTCTTGTGACCGTATTCTAAACAGAATCGACCGCCTCCGTGGTCTAATGGCGGAGTGTTTGCCCAGATAGCTTAAGATCTGGTGTTCGATGCCCGCCCGCGTCATATCAAAAAACGTTAAAAGATGGTACTTGTTGTTACCCTGCCTGGCGCTCGGCATTTAGAGGCTAAAACAAGACTTGTCGGCTTGGAGTCAGTATACTGTATCTGAGTGGGATACTCGTGTTACACTGCGGCATGGTATCTCAGTGGGCTGGCACTATGAAATCGGCAGCCACGTCGCTATATAAGTGCAATAATCTTGGACGCGACGTTAAACCGCATTTTATCTCACCTAAACAGAATCGTAAGCTCTCCGCCGTTTTCAGTGCGCTTTGAAATAGTCTTGAAGAACTGTTGGAAACAGAAACTTTAAAAGCTGGCACTTGGTCGCGAATATATGCGGACAGATTGCACACATCTATGATCAACAATGACTTGTCAACGCTACTGGACAACCGAATCGATCTAATATGTACAGTAAACCTCGGTTATAACGAACTCAAAGGGACTTCTAATTTTAGTTTGTTATAACCGTAGTTCGTTATAAGCATATATACAGCATAACTACAGCAAATAGTCGGGACCAAAAAGTAAGTTCGTTATATCCGTCAGTTCGTTATAAGCGAGTTCGTTATAACCGTAGTTGACTGTACGTTATTTCATTCTCAGAGTTTGCGCCAACGTTTGCCAAGCACCCTGTCGATCCGTCTCAGCTGGCCACAGTTGGAGGAAATGCAACCGTCATCTGTCAACCAGAAGCCGCGCCCAAACCGGAAATAACATGGAAGAAAGACGGACGTAGTTTAGGGTTATCTACCGGCGTGGCGGGACATCTCCAGCTGTTGGCCAATGGTAACCTGTTGATTACAGATGTCACAGGCTCAGATGCCGGACATTACGAATGTACAGCTACCAACGACAAAGGAAGTGCCTCCAGTGGTGGGAAACTGGAAGTTGTAGGTGAGTATGTCTGAGACCCATAAAGGGTAGAATTGGTCTTCAGCAACCCATGCTTGTCGTAAGCGGCGATCAAGGGGACCAGGTGGTCAGACTCACTGACTTGGTTGATGCATGTCATCGTATCCCAAATGTGTGGGTCGATGCTCATGATGTCAATCACTGGTTTGTCTGGTCCAGACTCGATTGCTTAAAGACCGCCGTCATATAGCTGGAATATTGCTTAGTGCGGCGTTAAACAACAGACAAAATAGAGCACGTTTAACTACGTATTATATTGACACATGGTAGAGCATACAGGTGAAAGGCGTGGGTGAATGAGGTAATTGGGTTTTCTGTCGATATTTTGTGATATCCCAACACTGTGGTGACAGGGGACAGTGGTGGGAATGTTGTGAATCGAAGCGATGTCTTTGGTTAGAAGAACGGCTAACTTCTCAATCTCATTAAAATCAGATCTTAGTTCTCGCTACCGCTAAACAAAGATCTGAGGACACCCCATTAGGGTTCACGTCAGAAGGACCTTTCATCCGACCAATCAGAGCGTCGCTTATCAGATCATGAAAGTGACAGTAGGAATATGATTTCTAATCATGCAGCCTCGAAAACTTTAAAACGGGGTATTCCGAACGATAGTTACGGGCTTAACGACTGAATCTATACAATCCAAACCATATATTAGCCATTCGAGAATGTTCTTTTGTTCAGGTTTCAAATTTTTAAGCGAGAATTTGTCTAAATATGTTTCGAAGCGTAGTCGACAATTTGAAATTAGTGCCGTCTTGCACGAGAAATCTGCCTTCTGATTGGCTAATGTCGACTTCTTGTCAGTAATTCCATTGGTCGGTCAGAGTTTGCAAAAGGTCGTTCTGACGTGACCCGTAATGGGATGTCCTCAGATCTTTGTTTAGCGGCAGCGAGAACTAAGATCTGATTTTAATGAGATTGACTAACTTCTATGACTGATGCTCATATGTGGTCACGTCATATTATTGTAATTTAAATAACTATCTAAAGATCGAGTTTCCATTCCGTAACGTAAATTAATACGCTTACATAATGTCTATTTAAAAAGTCATTAAAAAATGTAACACAACTAATTTGCAATATCAGTTAACAAAACTGATATACAAATATAAAAACGTATATTCAATGTTGCAAGCACATTTTAAGTGTATACACACTTCATTGTCAACTGTGTTTCAGAGCGGACGACCCTGTCCATCAGTCCGAGCGGCACCCGGGTCGTTCAGAACAACACAGCTTTCCTCTTCTGCCAAGCGTCCTTTAACCGTCGAGCACACGACCTCGTGTACATCTGGTACTTCAACAACGTCATGATCGACACCGATAAGGATCCTCACTTTTCTATGGTATCGTCTTAGAACTACAAAATCTCTTTCTCAGATACTTACTGTCGATGATCAATCTAGCCTTCAGTTGACTTCCAGGATAAACAGTTTGTTTCGTACAAACTGAATACGTAATTGAAATATGAAACATATCACAACAAAGCACAATAATGTTTTTCCTTAATCAATATGAATTCTTTGACATATTATTGAAATGAAGCAAATTTACTGTCTAGAGTGCCATTCACTCCGCTGAACTTCGGGAAAATAGGTGTATCATGTCGGAAAACATTCTCAAGTACTCAGTGTATATCTGCTTTCTATTTGATGATAAATATTCATGACCCATTCAACTTGTTGTTACCCTGTCTGGCGCTCGGCATTAAGGGGCTAAAACAAGGACTGGTCGGCTCGGAGTCAGTATACTGTGTCTGAGTGGGGTATTCATGTTAAACTGCGGCATGGTATCTCAGTGAGCTCGCACTATAAATCGGCATCAGTCCGGACTATTACAAGCAGCCACACAAACACTAGTACATGCACGTCGCTATATGAGTGCAATAATCTTGGACGCGACGTTAAACCCCATTTCACCTCACTTTGTGTCCCTTTGTTTTAATAGTCATTGTGTGATTTCTCTACCTCCGTTGCTTTACTTGTCAGGGTAGGCGAGAAATGGGCCCTGGGATTTACATCAAGAACGCCCAGTTTAAACATCACGGGGTGTACACTTGTAACGCTCAAACTGTGCAGGACAAAGCATCCTTGTCAGCAGTGCTCACTGTTTTAGGTAAGTATCATACGAATCAACTGAAAACAAAGAAGAAATTTGCTATTAAAATACAAAGGAAAGGTCAAGGACGCTCGCTGTGCTGAATTGCGTCCCTTAGCCTCCAGGATCCGCTAATACGTTAATCGCTGTGGGAATTCCAGGGTAGAAATTGACACCTTTGCTTGTTGTACCAGGTGATTAACATGGATCGGGTTGTCAGGCTCGGTGACTTGGTTGAATCTGCGTCATCGACGGCGTGGCCTTTGTTCATCAACATTGACATCAACCATTGGTTTATCTGGTCCAGACACGATTGTTTACATACCGCCGTGATGTAGCTCGGACATTGATTATTGAAACTATAATGAGTGAGTGACTTGGGTTTATCGCCGCTTTTAACAGTATTCCAGCTTAATGTGGGAGGAAAGCCCGTAGTGGTGCAGGTCTCAAACTTCAGTGAATACCACAAGCACGGGTATGGTGCTGACAAACCTAGAAACATAATCGGAGCGAACTGGGATTCGAACCCACAACCATAGGTTTCTGGCGTGCCCATGGGGCGCAACTCTGCACAGGGAATCGCGGCGCCTTAGACGACTGGGCCACCCGTGCCCCCTATTGAAACTATAGATACTACACCATTCACATCTAGTTGACACGCCATGATATGACGGAAATATTATTCCCAGCTATGTTAAATCTCACACGCTTGTAAATTTCCAATAGAATAACAGGGGCGGTCGGGTGGCCTAGTGGTTAAAGCGTTGGTTCGTCACGCCGAAGACCCGGGTTCGATTCCCCACATGGATACAATTTGTAAAGCCCATTTTCCGGTGTCCCACGCCGTGGTATTGCTGCAATATTGCTATAGCGGCGTACAACCATACTCACTCACTACAATAGAATAACCCTTTGATATGTTACTCTTATTCAGCATACTTGTTTAAGCATAAATTTATACATGGGTTGGTTGGTTGGTTGGTTGGTTGTTTACCGCCGCACTCGGCAATATTCCAGCTATATGACGGCGGTCTGTAAATGATCGAGTCTGGACAGGATAATCCAGTGATTAATATCATGAGCATCGACCCACGCAATTGGGATCGATGACATGCATCAACCAAGTCAGCCAGTCTGACCACCCGGTCCGTTAGTCGCCTCTTACGACAAGCATAGTCGCCTTTTACAGCAAGCATGTTATACGTGGGAGCGATATGCACTCATGTATGTATCTTATTGACTGCTCCATGTTTTCTTGTCTGGGGAAGGAATATCAGTAGTTACATGCATTCCAAACCTGTCTGTTCAGGGCCGCCGGGAGAACCAGCTGGAGTATTTGCAGAGATAACAGGAAGATTAGCAACTGTCACATGGACAATCGGGACAACTCACGGCATGCCTGTGACGTCATTTGCTGTCCAGTTTCGTACAGATTACCGGCCGGAATGGAGGGTCATTCTAGATGGTGAGCAAATACAATACAGAACCTTCGGATATACCGAAGTCCCATATATCGAATACTCATTTATAACAAACCATCCTGAAGTGACAATGAACTGAATAACGATCCCCAAAACACCCGGTGGTTCGATCCCCGACCGCGTACGTCATACCAAAAAGACAGTACTTGTTGTTACCCTACCTGGTTCTCGGTATTAGGGAGTTAAAACAAGGACTGGTAAGCTCGGAGTCGGTATACAGTGTCTGGATGAGGCATCGATATCCAACTGCGGCATGGTATCTCGGTGGGCAAGCACAATAAAACTGGCGCTAATCCGGGCGTCCCTATCGTGCATTTCACTCTACCTCCATGTCACGTTATGTTCCAGGTATTCCAAACGAAGTAGCAGTAGACAGCACTTATCCAGACAGGCGCTTTGCACAACTCGGCAGCCTCAGACCCGGGTCATCCTACAACTTCCGGGTCATAGCCAGCAACATGTATGGAAGTGGGATTCCTAGTGTGCATTCATGTAAGTCGGGTCGGGGAAGATTGGAATAATTACTGATAGTGTGTGATATAAAACTGTTTTAAGCCGCAGTTAGCAATATGTAAACTTTATTGCGGCACCATAGTCAAAGAAACCAATGATTGATATCATGAACAAACAACCACGCCCGTTGGTACATTGACAAACAATCCAGCCAGATCATCCATTGTGATAAACCGATGTTATTTAAGTAGGCTTTTACGCTAATCATAATTGTTAATCTTAATATCGCCTTTAGAAATATTCCATCTGTGGCGGCAGGTGAGTGAGTGAGTGAGTGAGTTTGGTTTTACGCCGCTTTAAGCAATATTCCAGCAATATCACGGCGGGAAACACCAAAAATGGGCTTCACACATTGTACCCATGTCGGGAATCGAACCCTGGTCTTCGGCGTGACGAGCGGACGCTTTAACCACTAGGCTACCCGAATGTACGGCAGGTAAGTAATCGAATATGGACCAGACAAATAGGTGATTGATATTATGAGCAACGCCTAACCCGATCGGTGCAGGATGGCACGCAATGAACCATGAAAAAGAACCTGACTCCCGACCAGTACAAGCATATTGGTTGCTGGGGATCAATTCTATCCAACGGGGAAAGACATATTATACGGGATAATTAATTAAGTTAGTAATAAGCGATGCAGTTGCTAGTTCGTCGCCAAACTCCTCGCTACCCTTATTTCACGCAGCAACGTACAAGATCCCAAACGCAGCTCCAGTCGTGGCCCCACAAGACGTTGGAGGTGGAGGAGGCACAGTGGGGGCGCTCAAGGTCACGTGGGAGGTGAGTCGGAGGAGAGTATCTGTAATGTTTGGTCATTAAGACCATCATCCGATAGGTGGCACACATATTGGAGAAACAAGGTGCGAGAGCAGGTTCATACTCACATAGACTGGGTTCCTGTCTACCTGAACTAGTAGAAGGCAAAATCGCGCTAAGCCTGGCTTGTGGAACCAGTTTCATACTCACATTTCCACTGTTGGGGAGGTAACTCTCATTGGCGATGTCATTGGTATACCGCTAGTTCTGAGCAATTGACACTGACCTTGAACATAAAGCGAGACATTAAAGCACCAATATCCTCGACCTTAGATTCTGTTAATAATAAATAAGGGGAGACACATAGTGGAAGTTAGAACCCTGGTGACGTGATAATCGTCATAAACGTCCAATAATACCGACGTCTTCGCTACTTGCTGTAGTTCGGCTTCATGTTGTATAGTTAATTTTTAAACCTCGATATTTCTTCAATAACACTTATACACTGGCGGCGTTACTTCCTGTACTTTATATTAGTCGTCAACGTGGTGTTTGAATCAAACTGGGACTGCCAGTTGGCTAAGTCATGCGAGTCGTCATATCGGTAAAATGGATGTATTGACCAGAATCAGTTTGTGAATGGGAGGCGATCTTGTCAGCAATACTCCAGCTATCTCACGGCGGCCTGTAAATGATCTTGTCAGTAGCAGGCAAACCAGTGTCTGACGACGAGCAGTGATCCACGCAGAACAACCAAGTCACAGAGCCTGAACACGAGGTGGCTCTTACGACCAGCAGTGAGTGCTGGGGATGTATTCTAGGCCCACTATCCATGGGGCTGCTCTTACCAAGCAGCTGTGATGATTCTGTCTGGCGACTTATGTAGTGATGCTGATACTTGCAAGCAGAATGCACATGTTTCCACCTCGCACATAAATGGAGTATTGCGGACGTTAACGCCCCCAGCAGGAAGCATCCTAGACTGGTGGGATCTAGGCCCACTATCATCGCAATCTCATTAAAATCAGAAGAAAAATAAAATATAAAGTTCTCGCTGCCGCTAAACAAAGACCTGAGGACATCCCATTACAGGTCACGTCAGAACGACATTTCGCGAACTTTGACCGACCACTGAAATTTCTAAGAAGAAGTCGACATCAAACAATTGAAAAGCAGCTTTCTCGAGCTTTACGGCACTAGTTTCAACTTGGCGACTTTCATTTCAGACTACGCCTGAAAAATATGTTGACACAGTTCTCCATTAAAATTTTGAAAACTAAACAAACGAAAATTCCGGAATGTATAATATATGGTTGCGATTGTATGGCAGTGCTTCCCACGTACTGTGCAACCCCTCCTCCGTCCAAATGTTTATCCCACGGAAGCGAGAGATATACGATAATTTTGATTAGAAAACCCATTTCGACTGTCACTTTCAAGATTTGGTAAGCGACGCTTTGATTGGTCGGATGAAATGTCGTCGGGACGTGACCCGTAATGGGATGTCCTCAGATCTTTGTTTGGCGATAGCGAGAACTAACATCTGATTTTAATGAGATTGACTGTCATCGTTGACAGAAGTGTGGACCTTGGAAGGGATTATGCTGATAAAGAATTAGCAAGCGATTCAAGGAATGCGGTCCATCATAGTTCTGGTTCTGAACGATTCATCCACCTCTCATACAATAAGTACACAGTGTGGGTATTGAGTAGTCTTCAGGATTTACCCAAAACTATATATGGTTCGCAGGACATGCTTGACTACCTTAACAAAATGTTTTGTGCAAAAATATTGAAATGTTCCGCTGCCCCTTTCACAGAAGGGGGCACTGGTGGCCCAGTCATCCAGGCGTCGCAATTCGCTGTGCATATTTGCTATCCTTGAGCACGCCAGTTTGTGGGTTCGAATCTAGGTTCGCCCCGATTATATTTCTAGGTTTGTCAGCATCATATCCGTGCTCATAGGTTTCATTGACATGAAAGAAGAAGCAGTGATCAAAGCATATCCTGTGTCTAAGGTTAGGTCCTTTATGTCAGACAAAGGGAACCTGCTGTCAATGATAACTCGATGTAATTTGTTATCCGAAAGGAGTTTGCGGTTTTATTGCAATTGTCTTGTCTCTACCCTGTTGACCTTTGTCCCAGCCTCTGCATTTGGAAGACTTCAACGGAGATGATCTGGGCTACATGATTTACTTCCGGAAACAGACGGACAGTGGCGGACTTTGGCAGAAGGTATTGATTTCAGTCAATCTGGATATAACAATAACAACGATGATGATGGTGATGATGGTGATGATGATGATGATGATGATGATCATCATCATCATCATCATCGCCTAAGCAGCTTGACTGCAAGGATCACCCAAACCCTCTTTGCTGCATTTTTTTTATCTGTTAATAATAATAATAATTTTCATAATAATAATACGTAATCGTTAATTGTTATAAGTTGATGACAATTGTGATATTGAGAGAAGAACCAATGAGATACAAGGTCCTACAAATTATCTGTGCCGATGCATTGTGTTATCTGCGCCGATGCATTGTGTTATCTGCATTGTGTTACTTGTCCCAGGAGGCGTGTGATGGGGTTAGGCATTCTTCAAAGACGGACAGATAATCCGTTTCAGAGGTACGGGTAGCTTTTTCAGACAAGGTAACGAAGAAAGAGGAATGAATCGATGATACAAATAAACATTATTAGTTCAAATCTTATGACCTAACGTTGTTACGTATGGATGAGATCATATCGTGTTTTTTTCGATGAGCCAGCAGAATAAAGCCATATTACTTCTACACAACATAATCAAAATAAGCAATATCGGAAGGTTATGGATCTATCAACCCTTTGGCGTAATGTTCAGCACTAATGTCGGGTGCATGGAATTTAATAACGAAATACGTGTTCTTTTCATATATTTTGACATTTTAGGCCAGACCTGTTTTTAAACTTGCTTTAGGAATCCGCCGACTTGACGTGAAAAAAAGTGGTGGGTGTTTTTCATTCCGTCAACCAGAAATAAATAAAATGTTTAAAAAGACCTCATATCCTATCGCAATCTATATAGATTATATTATTTTAAATACTTTAATTATTACTTTAAAATCTTCACAGCAAAACAAATTACGACGCATCCCAATTCCTCCTGCCTTACGTTTTTTCCTTCCTACCTAACATTTTGAGGAAATCAAAAACCGTATTTGAAATTGAATTTTTGTTGTTGATTTTTTCGACCTACCGACCTGAATATTTGGGCCCAAAATCAGAAACAACCCCATCCAGCCCACGCACCCGCACCCGCACCCAAACGTAGTCTGTCCTAGCACATTCATCTTGTCATCTGGGGGCACGGGTGGCCCAGTCGTCTAAGGCGCCGCGATTCGCTGTGCAGAGTTGCGTCCCTTGGGCACGCCAGAAACCTGTGATTGTGGGTTCGAATCCCGGTTCGTCCCGACTATGTTTCTAGGTTTGTCAGCACCATACCCGTGCTCGTGGGTTTCACCAAAGTGGTAAACGTCTGAGACCTGCATCACTTGGGGCTTTCCTCCCACATTAAGCTGGAATACTGTTAAAAGTGGCGATAAACCCAACTCACTCACTCACTCATCTTGTCATCTGCATTTGCGTTTTTCAGGGCTCGGTGGAAGGTCATCTGGGGGAGTGGGTGACGACGGTCGGCGGTGAAAACTACTACTTGGAGTATGAGGTGATGGTGGCAGCCTTCAACAGTCTCGGGCAGGGTCCTAACTCCACCATCAACATCGTGTTGTCGGCAGAGGACAGTACGTTTCTTTCAGTACCCCCCATTATCCTGCGCGTACTATCTCCATCTGATTAGGATATATTCCCAGGGCCTATTCACCACCATACATATTACCTGTGTTTGAATCTGGTTCAAATGACACGGCGCTACAGATGACTACGACCGCCTCCGTGGTCTAGTGGATAGAGGTCTGCACGGAGAAGGGTGGTCAGTGGTTCGATCCCCGGCTGCGTCACATCAAAAGACGCCAAAAGGTGGTACATGTTGTTACCCTACCTGGTGTTCAGCATTAAGAAAATAAAACAAGGACTTGGTCTGAGTGGGTATCGTTGTTAAAACTGTGACATGGTATCTGAATGGGCTAACACTATAATACCGGTACTAGACTGGACACGGATGCTATTTTTAATGTAGAGCTAGGTCGAACTTGTTCAGAAGAGGCATTTTGATTGGTTGGTTTGATTGGTTGTTGATTGGTTGAAGATGAGGGGACTTCTGTGCTAGGTTAGGGATAAGAGATGGAGTTGGTTGAATCACTTCGGAAACGGAACTATGGAAGTGAATGGGAAAATATCAAAATAAAAGTGAGATATATGTGTATATTAAACTGGATAATTGAGGGTTTCACCATTATCATAGTGAGTGAGTATGGTTTTACGCCGCTTTTAGCCATATTCCAGCAATATCACAGCGGGGGACACCAGAAATAGGCTTCACACATTGTACCCATGTCGGGAATCGAACCCGGGTCTTCGGCGTGACGAGCGAACACTTTAAACACTAGGCTACCCGACCGCCCCCAGGATTATCATAGGTTTTTGCAATCGATGCATGTATAATACCAGGAAGATACCAAGTCAAGTGAATTTATCATTAAATGTTACAATTCTTGCCCGATACAATGATCAACTATCACTTGTTAAATCATCAAGAACTTGTTGGTAAAAGTTATCCGAAATAATATTGATGAAATTCTGCTCATAAATTAAGAATGGGATGTTTTAGATATGTATCACACAAAAACGTGTGTCAAAAACTGTGAACATGACAATCAAAAGAAAGTATACACGTGCGCCCATGTTTGTTAGCGGCTAAAATTGAAACAAATGCTTATTCGATAGTGACGTACAGTAAACTACGGTTATAACGAACACGCTTATAACGAACTGACGGATATAACGAACTCACTTTTTAGTCCCGACTATTTGCTGTAGTTATGCTGTATATATGCTTATAACGAACTACGGTTATAACGAACTAAAAATAGTAATCCCTTTTAGTTCGTTTTAACCGTAGTTTACTGTATTTGGTAGGGGTGACATAGTTGTGTTTTGGACCTTACGTTTGCATTGTTTCGGTGACAGTTTTCAGCCTTGTAACGTTTTGATTACGTTTGTAATGTTTTGGCTAAATCCATTTTTCAAGTGTACACCTTCTTTTGCCCGGGAGTTTATCTGTTCATAAATGTCAATGCAACATAAGTTAACCCAGTTTAAGGAAATATCCTTATGTAAATTCCTCCTATTTGAGCTTAATTTATATTGAGCGTGTTTTTCTAGTGCCGACAGCGACACCGACCAATCTGAACGGCGACTCTTACAACGGTACAGCCATCATGGTGACGTGGGACCCTGTGCCCGATACACGGCAAGCGATGAAGGGCAGAGTGCAGGGGTACCAGGTAGGTTAAAATGGAAGAGAAGATTTGCTTGTTTGTTTCTTTGTTGTTTAACACCGCACTCAGCAATATTCCAGCTATATAACGGCGGTCTGTAAATAATCGAGTCAGGACCAAACAATCCAGTGATTGACATCATGAGCATCGATCTAAGCGATTTGGATACGATGACATGCATCACTTAAGTCAGCGAGCCTTACCACCCGATCCCTTCAGTCGCTTCTTACGAGAAGCATGGTCGCTGTTACGGCAGGCATAATCCTGTTACGACAAGCATGGTCGCTATTACGGCAGGCATTCTCAGCAGGATCGTCATGGGTCCCTTCACAACTACTACATCGACGAATTCTACGACTGCTTTCTCTACTACTACGACCACTTACTCACATTTCTACGACTACGAGTATTATTACGACTACAACTGGGACTACACATACTTCTGTCTTTATCACGTAACAAAACACGAGGTCGATCGAATGGCAACAAAACATTGACTGCTTTGAAACATGTCTTTATGTATGTATGAAATGACGATGTCATTGACGTCAGTAAGAACGTCTACGTCTACAGATCAACTACTACCTGGAGGGCGAGGAGGATCCAATTCTCAACTCCATCTCCCACTACGGCCAGTTGGACGGCGGACTGGTCATCGGCCTGCAGCCAGACGGAGACTACTGGGTCAACGTCCAGGTATTCAATACCGCCGGACTCGGACCTCGGGGAGAGGAGTACCGCATCAGTACCTTCACTTCAGGTAGGGGTACCGCATGAATACCTTCACTTCAGGTAGGAGTACCGCATGAATACCTTCACTTCAGGTAGGAGTACCGCATCAGTACCTTCACTTCAGGTAGGAGTACCGCATGAATACCTTCACTTCAGGGAGGAGTACCGCATCAGTACCTTCACTTCAGGTAGGAGTACCGCATCAGTACCTTCACTTCAGGTAGGAGTACCGCATGAATACCTTCACTTCAGGGAGGAGTACCGCATCTGTACCTTCACTTCAGGTAGGGGTACCGCATGAATACCTTCACTTCAGGTAGGAGTACCGCATCAGTACCTTCACTTCAGGTAGGAGTACCGCATGAATACCTTCACTTCAGGGAGGAGTACCGCATCTGTACCTTCACTTCAGGTAGGAGTACCGCATCAGTACCTTCACTTCAGGGAGGAGTACCGCATCTGTACCTTCACTTCAGGTAGGAGTACCGCATCTGTACCTTCAATTCAGGCAGGAGTACCGCATGAGTACCTTCACTTCAGGTAGGAGTACCGCATGAATATCTTCACTTCAGGTAGGAGTACCGCATCAGTACCTTCACTTCAGGTAGGAGTACCGCATCAGTACCTTCACTTCAGGTAGGAGTACCGCATGAATACCTTCACTTCAGGTAGGAGTACCGCATCTGTACCTTCAATTCAGGTAGGAGTACCGCATGAGTACCTTCACTTCAGGACGGCGTACCGCATATGTACCTTCACTTCAGGTAGGAGTACCGCATGAGTACCCTCACTTCAGGTAGGAGTACCGCATGAATACCTTCACTTCAGTAGGAATACCGCAGTACATTCACGTGAGGTAAGAGTACCGCATCAGTACAAGGGGCACGGGCGGTCCAGTCGTCTAAGTCGCCGCAATACGCTGTGCAGAGTTGCGTCCCCTGGGCACGTCAGAAACCTAAGGTCGTGGGTTCGAATCCTGGTCGACCCCGATTGTGTTTCTTTGTTTGTCAGGACTATACCCGTTCTCGTGGGTTTCATCAGAGTGATGGACGTCTAAGACCTGCACAACTTCGGGCTTTGTTCCCACAGTAAGCTAACGAGCCGTAATATAACTGGAATATTGGTGGCCCAGTCGTCAAAGCGCCGCAATTCGCGGTGCAGAGTTGCGTCCCTTGGGCATGCCAGAAACCTATGATTGTGGGTTCGAATGCCGGTTCGCCCCGATTATGTTTCTATGTTTGTCAGCACCATACCCGTGCTCGTGGGTTTCACCGAAGTGGTAAACGTCTAAGATCTGCATCACTTCGGGCTTTCCTCCCACATTAAGCTGACACGCCGTGATATGACTGGAATACTGTTAAAAGCGGCGTTAAACCCAACTCACTCACTCACTCACTCTATCTGTACTGCCGCATGTTTCACATCATCATGTTTTATTCTGCCAGCTCCACTGCTTTTCCCGAGATACGTTGAGATCCACTCGCACTCCTCAGACAGTGTGTACGTAGCCTGGCAGGGCGTCAGCACTGGCCTGGCGGAAGAGACGCTGCTAGGATATAAGGTAAATCATAACAATCATAATAAATAATCATAATAAAATTAATAACTCCACTCGAAACCGCCAATGTGTGATTTTGCATTAAAATGTAAATATGAAATGTAGATAATGGAATGAATTTAATGCAGATCCCCTTATTACCGTCTTCGTCATGCTCGTGGTTTTGACACTGAGCTCCATCCATGGTACGAACCAGAATATATACAGGGCGTCATGGAAAATGACAAATACAAAATTCTTTGTAATAGGCCCGTATACACCCTCAGACCTATCCAGGCCAACAAACCTCATCTTGTCATTTTTTATAAATCCAATGAAATCATTTGTATTATTGAATTTTCCGTCCCTTTTGACACTAATGTGACTGAAAAGAGTAAGGAAAAACATGGTAAATATGCAGACCTCGCTTTCGAAATATCACGCTCGCATCCCAAGTACCAAGTTGTCCTACTTTCCATTGTTCTCGGTGCCTCAGGTTTGGTACCTCCCAATCTGTCGACTGACAGTGGGAGAGTACCCGGATTTGTTGCCAGGAATACAACCCTTCTGACAATCTGGATAATGCAGAAGGCTGGAGGGTTGGGGAGTCTTCACATTCTCCGAAAAGTTCTGGGTGGGTTCTACAAGGCAGCACTTCCTGGGAGAAGTCCCATTCGCTGTCTGGGCTGCGTGTAGAGGGGGCGAGGGCCCTGAACTGATGATGAGCCAAACCAGGATCACCCAAACCCTCTTTGATGCATATATTTTTTTTAATTTTTAGCTATACATAATAACATTAAAGAGATTTATCACCCAGGCCAACCTTCCAGTGTGTATTAAAATTGCAGTCTCAGCTTCCTGGGGAGCCTACAACTGAACACCAACGTCACATAATGATTTCAAATGCTGTCTGTCTCACGTGATGAACATCACATTTCTACCCATACCGACAAGTTAGACGTGAAGGCGTCATGTGATAGCTGTGGAGCAAGTAGTGGTATTAGTTGTTCCATAACTGGGCCAGGAACCGCTGATTGTGTGTCCAAATCTTAGGTCATTTTATGGAACACGCATGGAGGACATTTCCAAATTTGAAGCATCAGTGACAAAATTGATGTCCGAAGCAGTTCCCTATTTTAACTTGTACCATATGATTTTTTCAAGTGAACAATTGACTTGCCTTTGCATGTGTTTGTGACGGGTTGGTATGCTAACCTTTTCGCGAATACCTGGTATCATCACTATTTGAAAGTGATTCATAAACACATGCTCAGGATATAATCGGAATCGTACAAGCATGATTGAGGGTTTTGTCGCTTTTAATCATAACCCATGGCCGATCATCAAACCTGTTGACGTGTACATCTGGCTTTGCTCCCATAGTAAGCTGACCCGTGTGCGAAATACCGTTTAAAGCTGCGTAAAACCCAATAGGTTCACTATCTCAGTCACTTAAAAATTATTACTTTGAGTGAGTAAATGAGTTTGGCGCTGCTTGAACATTATTTCTGTCATAGAATGGTAGGTCAGCTCAATCTCATTGAAATCAGATCTTCGTTCTCGCTGTCGCTAAACAAAGACCTGAGGACATCCCATTACGGGTCACGCCAGAGCGACCTTTCATCCGACCAGATCATGAAAGTGACAGTCAGAATGTGTTTTCTAATCATGCAACCTCGAAAACGTTAACACGAGATATTCCGAACGACAGCTACGGCCTGTACAGCTGATTCCGTCTCTCTCTCGCTTTTGTGGGATAAACATTTGAACGGAGGAGGCGTTGCACAGTACGTGGGAAGCACTGCCATACAATCGCAAATATTAGACATTCCGGAATGTTCTTTTGTTTACTTTTCGAAATTTTAATCGAGAGCTGTATCAACATATTTTTCAGGCGTAGTCTGAAATGATAGTCGCCAAGTTGATACGAGTGCCGTAAAGCTCGAGAAAGCTGCTTTTGAATTGGCTGATGTCGACTTCTTCTTAGTAATTTCAGTGGTCCGTCAAAGTTTGCGAAATGTCGTTCTGACGTGACCTGTTATGGGATGTCTTTAGATCTTTTGTTAGCGGCAGCGAGAACTTAGCTCTGATTTTAATGAGATTGGTCAGCTTGATGTGGGAGGAAATCCCGAAGTGACGCTGATTTTAGACGTTTACCTCTGGTGAAACGCATGGGTGTGGTGCTGACAAACCAGAAACCCACGCTAACGGACGCTACTCTACAAGGGCAATTCCGGCGCCTAAGTCAATGTGGCTACCTATATGAGTGTGAGGAATCAGTCGGCAGTTATGATTTGTATATTAAAACGTCAAAGCATAAAAGATATTCATATTCGTATGCCATAACAAAATGAAGCCAACACCCCTGACATAACGGCACACGTTAGATACCGTTACTGTTGTTGCCAACGCTTGTTTGGGGCAACGCTTCGTTAATGATGGCCGAAACGCCTCCGAGATTGACCAGAGATTGTATCTAACTATAACAAGGCTGGGATAACGCTCGCTTTGACGGCTTGCTGTGGAATACTGACAATCTGAAATCACAGAAGGAATGTTAATTATGGAGGCCATTATTTCAAACATAAAGATCAATGACACGCTTGCTGGCCATTCCGTCACACATTTGTAATTTTCCACTCAGTGCACATTGCCTTGTCCGACTGTGGAGATGCATATCGATATCATTCGTCACCACTCGCCCCTTTCCGTAATCTGCTATTCGGCTTGTCCCGGAATAACACGAGTTGTTCACGAATGATATCGATATAGGACAAGTCGTAAACATGATTAGAGTATTGATGATTCTTCTGTTTTCAGATGCGATATTGGGAGGCCTCGGAGAACATACTAACGGCCAAGGACGCTGAAACTCTCGGGAAAGAGACACACGGCATCATTAGGTAGATGGCGCTGATCTAGGAAAGATAACCAGAGAGAATAAAGTTGTCCGGTTGCCCTTCAACTTGGGTGGGTGGGTGAATTGGGTTTAACGCCGCTTTTAACAGTATTCCAGTTATATCACGGCGTGTCAGCTTAATGTGGGAGGAAAGCCTCAAGTGATGCAGGTCTTAGGCGTTTACCACTTTGGTGAAACCCACGGGCAAGGGCATGGTGCTGACAAACCTTGAAACATAATCGGGGCGAACCGGGACTCGAACCCACAATCATAGGTTTCTGGCATGCCCAAGGAATGCAACTCTGCACAACGAATCGCGGCGCCTTAGACGACTGGGCCACCCGTGCCCCCATTTCAACTTGGCCACGACATGACAATGACAAATACAAAGAGCATAAATACTTTGAGGTCTTGTTTTAATCTAAGGGCACCGTTGTCTCAAACTGTATTCCCTGTTTAGCCATCAGTATGGTAGCCTAGTGGTTAAAGCGTTCGCTCGCCACGCCGCCCGGGTTCGATTCCCCACATGGGTACTATGTGTCAAGCCCCTCCCCTGTTTGTTTGTTTTAAAAGACAACGGCCTTGAACCAGAAATGTTATTTTTGGTGCCTCCTTGGTAATGACGTTTCCTTTTTAACAGAGGGGTCAAGAAAGGGATAATCTACAGACTGCGTGTGTTGGCGTACAACTGGGGAGGAGACGGCAAGAAAAGTCCACCAGTTTTCTTCACCTTAGGTAAGAGCTTAAATATGATTCAATTCTTACCACCATAGACACCATGCCACGTTCTCTTGATCCAAACTCACATAACATTTCCATAGTAGGGCAGGTCATGCTTACCCTTTTAGTGAACATCTTATTCTATCTTATTCTTGTTCTATTTGTTTGTTTGTTGTTTTACGCCGCACTCAGCAATATTACAGCTATATGACGGCAGTCTGTAAATAATGGAGTCTGGACCAGACAATCAAGTGATCGATATCATGAGCATCGATCCACGCAATTGGGATCGATGACATGCATCAACCAAGTCAGTGAGCTTGTTTTGTGTTCTTAACGTATCGTAGAGTAATTATACCACTATTCATCATCAGTATCTTTGTTGACTATGATGTTAGATAGCATGGCCATGTGCCCATTTCACTCACTGGTCTTTGTGTGAAATAGCGACTAATCTGAGCGACCGTTACAACATTGAATGAGATCCCTTAAATTAGGAAACGAGTGTTTGTGGTTTAATGCCGCACTCAGTAATAGAATTGTTTTTCAGCAACCCATGCTAGTCGTAAGAGGCGACTAAGGGGAGCGGGTGGTCAGGATTGCTTGGTTGGTTTGTTGGTTAACGCCATACTCAGCAATATTCCACAGTCTGTAAATAATCGAGTGTGGACCAGACAATCCAGTGATCGATATCATGAGCATCGATCAACGCAATTAGGATCGATGACAGGCATCAACCAAGTCAGCGAGCCTCACCACCCGATCCCGTTAGTCGCCTTTTACGGCAAGCATCGTCGCCTTTACGGTAAGCATGGCTTAATGAGTACCTATTCTACCCCGGATATTCACGGGTCGGTCAGGATTGGTGATACATGTCATCGTATCCTAATTAGATCGTAGATCGATACTCATGCTATCAATCACTGGATTGTCTGGTCTCGACTCGACCTCGAAAATGTACAGACCCCCGTCATATGGCTGGTATATTGCCAAAACGTCATGCTGACATTATAATAGGCCGCCGTGATATAGCAGGGATATTGTTGCCTGTTGTGTTAAACAACCAAAAAACAATTTGTTTACTTTCCAGAGGGCCAGGTGAGGTACGACCCAACGACAAGCATCATCAAGGCATCCGGTAGCCGTGTGTTGCCTTCTATAGCATGTCTTGTGCTCTCGGCTGTGTCCTTAATCAATTGGAATTAGACATCTGGATCACACAGCCCATGAAGGGAATACAACGGCGGGACAAGAACACATACGGAACAGTGTGTGCGTGTCTTCAGAGGGTGCCAGTGTTGAGTGCGTTTACAAGATGCATCAGAAGCAGAGGTGTCTCGTTTGTGCTTCCATAGGTGATTACCGTAATACAGGAAGGCGGTTAGAACATTATACAGTGTCTAACAAAATGCCCATCAACTGAAAACACGTTGCAACGCTATTGCCTGTATGTGCACACCGGAAGTGGTAAAATAAGTACATTGTGATATTCAGGCAGTGCTACCAGCGATGGCAAGTGGGAGCTGGAAAAGCTGGATAGTGACCCTTCTGACTGCTGTAACAGCGCGCATGGTTAATGTGTTCGCTGACCTTCGCGCTTCAGGCTTGTCCTGCCTGTGTAATATACTACCCAACATTTGCTAAGTTCCACGATAGCCTTTAGTCAAAGGTGTGGCCCTTAGCAAATGTTGAGTGGTGTAGATCAGTTTTACAGTCGCAATGCACGTTACAGCTGACTAACCATACTTGACGATGTGTTGTACCAATATCAATAACTCATACTGTCAAGCTTACAGACAGATCTAACAACGCATTAATACATTGTATATTCAGGCGGAATTTATTTTCTCATAGTGTATATTTTCATAATTGTATGGTTGTGTGAATGTAGGTTGTTTTAATAGCAGACCATGTCATAATAGCCTGGATTCGCTTTTACTTATATCTTTTATTTTTAATGCCCTTATGTATAATGTTTGCAGTAGTCCCGTGGGTTATGTGATAATGACTGTAGTGGAGAGGGCATCTCCACGGGGCACATGTGATGTAGACTGTAAATATCGGCGCGTGATGCTGTATGACACAGCTACTCGACGGGATCCACTCAGGTGGAGAGTTCCGATTGGGCGGAGAGTCGAGCGTTTTATAAATAAAACAATTTGGAATCATTGCAGTTGGTACTCATATCCCCGTAGATAGACACTTGTGTTATATCAACAAGCGCACAGTGGGAAAAGATTAAATAATTCATAGATCCATATATTTGAATAATTCCACAAGTGGAACGCGACATGAATAAGGTGAAGGTTGTGTGGCTTCATGCCTTTGCTGAATCACATAGTTGTGATGGAACATGACGACGATTAGCACCGTCACAAAATAACCACAACTGAACATTGTCCAGATCATGTACGTAGTATTGTGAATATAGGTAGTGTATTGATTTTTCACAGTGAAAATTGTGGAATGTGATAACGGTTTTATATGCATTTAGATTTGGATATGTTCCCAAGCCGTGCCGTTGTTTCCAAATCCGAGATTCTTACCGATTATGATTCTTAGTCAAGCACCAAACAATGCCCGTACGTTTCACCAAATGGTAAACGTCTAGAACCTGTCCCACTTTATATTTTTTCCCGCAGAATGATGTCAAATACTACCCAGTCAACGTGATCCAAACTTATTCATTAACACGAGTATGGATTTTCAATAACTTAGACACATTTAGTTGACAGTTCCATCAACCGTAAAGAGCTACTGTTATTGCTAAATGTCCAGTTCAGGGTAGTGTTAACACATTTCTGTCGTGCATCATCTCCCCATACAACCGTACCTTTACCTCTCAAAATATAGAGGAATTATAGATTGAGGTCATTTCTCTTGCAACTAAATTATGTGGTCATGACATGGATTCTTGAGAACACTAGTCTTCCTCGTCAAAATATACTGCTTCCCCGGTATAAGGTAGAATTGAGTTGAAGTGATGTTTAACGTCGCGTTCAAGACTATTGTACTGATATAGCGAAATGAATGAGCGTGTGTTTGGCAGCTTGTTTAGTCCAAACTTGTGCCCTTGTTTTTAGTGCTAGTCCACCGAGATACCATGCCGCAGTTTAACATGGATACCCCACTCAGACACTCAACAGACTCAAGACAGACTCCGAGCTACTAGTCCTTGTTTAATGCCGAGACAGGGTAAGATGTACCATCTTTTTCTCAGTATAAAGAACGACCGTCCGATCCGCGGCATTAAGGCTGAGATTTCTTGCACTTATATATATATATATATATATGCAACTTCCATATCTAATAACGTTAAAAATATATTTCTACTGAAAATCTCCAAGCTGCGATCGTAAAATAAATACAAAGGCACAAAACACAACAATAATCAGTAACAATTTTATTGGCTATGAAATGGAATGATTGTATATTATCTTCAAAAACAATAGTTTGTTGTAACCGGTTTTTGCTCATACATATACCAGCTATTGTCACGGAGTAAATACACAGGGTGAAACTTCCAAGATTCGTGAGGCCAGGACTTCATGACAGTGTTGTTTCTAAATGCAATAGCCGCCTGTAGACTTCAAATTACATTTCCCTTATGTTTTTCAACTCTGACCCGCTCCCGTTCCAAGTGTATATAACAAGTCTCTTTGTTGGGTCATAGCTATTATTCAAGGGTCTGCTTCAGCACTCAAACATCATGTTAACTATGTTGGAACACCACACTCAAAGGGGTCAAAACTTCAAAATCCACTGCAGATCAATAAGTGATAACCATAGGTTACCCGGATGACACTGTGATGAAGTCGCACAGTATCCGCTGAAGACGATGTAGATGATGCTACAAGCTGATCATTGGACTGAGACAACTGTCCATGCAAAATAGTTGACGCGCACGTGATCAAACTATAAATAGATATAAAAGGATACAATGATGTCAGATAGAAAAATACAGAAGAAATTGTAAATAAAACAGATATTACACATGACAAAACTAATTGCGTACGACAAACAGAACTTGCAACGTACACAGCTCAACCAAAGTGCTAGGTTTTGCATAGGAAACGTGATTGTCTTTGGAGATTAGGATATTTTACACACACATTGTAACACTGACGACAGGCACTTTCCCAGTCTTGTTGGGAACCTTACAAATGTCATATTTGTAGCAAGCCCACCTGATGGTGTATTCAGTCCTGTCTAATTCACAACCACAAACCTATGTTAAACAGCTTAGTGATATGCCCAAATATGCAGTACACCACTGAAATCTGAACTACCTTCTTAACTCATTTTTAAAACTCATCCTACTCAAGTTACCATAACACTTGCAGCTTAAACCTGAAAATTGTCCACATACATCTTCTGTTCACCTGGAACCAAAACCTTATTTCAAAACAAACACTCTGAGTCATACTAAACTCACTGAAAGTCTGACTGTAGCCACTAGTCTGAAGTCTGAGTCTTGTAATATATTGTTTGGTGAAGCAAGGTGAAGTACTAAACGCTACTGAAAATAATGTTATTAGCACATATGCTTGTTTAACTGCTAGTACACATAATGAAATGCCCATACAACAAGCTGTCTGCTTAGCCCAGGTGTTACGAATATATTATACACTATAAACATAGTACCATGTACAAAAATTTGGAATAATTATTTTCACCCTGTAAAATTGGTTTAACAATTTCATCACGTGATCTGTCTGGTGATACCTTTACACATATCTGAAATACTTTATGTCAGTATGTGATCATATGTCAAAAGGACAATCCAGTGCTTCATCCTCATCTGGTTCAATGATTCAGATTACAAAACTGAATATCATTACTTGCTGATTAAGTTCATCGATGCAGCAATACTTACCCGGTACATCTCGCTTAATAAAGGGTTCTGAGTTTCATGTAAGAAATATGAAGGCAGTTACCCTGTTCTTGGAACAAAGATAAACATATTCAGAAGTTGGTTATTATGTATACGTCTCCAGTAATAACAATGTCATTAGAACATGCTTAATATTACACAGTTGTAGAATATAAATGCTGATAATATCATACATCCCTAATAATTTCGATTTCTTAAAATTTCTTAGTATAAGTATCCCCTTTTCACAGATCTTTGAGAGATATTTATGATAGTTACGCATAAAAAGTATAAAGCTCCAATTAATTAGACACCCCTTACTTTCCATGTCCTTGTCATGACATCATCACAATACAGAACAAATCTAACTATATATGGCAAGCTTCATCTCTTAGATATTACATTCTTATAGGAAGCCAAATCAAGTCAATGCAAGTTATATGTGATATGAGTTGTGCAGAGGCTTGCTTAGATGGTTCTAAATGTGCAGCATGTCATGGCAGGTGCTTAATCTCAACTGTTCCAATAATCTCATCCAATCCACGGTTGCAAGAAGTTGCTTAACTGATAATCATGAGATCATTTCCTGAATAGTGAATATTGTGCTTTTGCTACCATCAAATAAGAAGCTAGGTCAACTACACATATCATTTAATACAAACTGCCTGTTTGAAAACTTGATTATTATGCTATGAATATGTTCAGTGAAACACCAGTTTCAGTGTGCATGCTGTATGAAACATGAACCAAGTCTATCTTGCAAGAAGGTGACTTATGAATGTAGCAGTGTTGGAAAATAAGCATGAAAGTAAAGAGGTCCTTGCCATAACCCCAGCATTAAAAGCAAATAATTTACGGGTCCTAGATTCAATGACATTGCAATGTATTATATATCATATTCATATATGAACTGCCCTTTCAGCATGTTCAGTAATGTTACATCTCTTGCCAAAAGAATCATCTACACAGATCTTCAGTCCATGAGATCCTTCCTGTGTCATCATCAAGTAGTATAAGAAATAATGGGTATTCTACATAGAGCCCTGCATGCATAGGTACAGAGATATTTCAACATAAACAATTCACATGAACCCTGTTTCTATGGTTACCATAAGATGTAATAGAGAAACCTGTGAACCACGTGCAACAACAACACTAACAGATAGATAATACTGTTCCTGAATAAAAAACAAGTAAACTTAAGACAATGAAAATAATGCATAAAATTATATATTAAAATACACATTTCAGTGAAATAAATAACATCAACAATATTACCTCCCACAGAAGTAGACGTTTTTTTAGCTACTGTTACTCTTTGTAGCTTTGGTAAAGGATATCACAAGAATTCAGTGAGCATGGTAAATTGCTCCATCAGGCATACCAAAGAAAAAAAACTACTATGTGTTCAAAAACAGAAATGTGGTGCTATTTGTCTATTTTGCACACTAAAATATCAACCAGCAGAATTATCATGAATATGAGTAGATTTTGCACACTAAACCTATTCGCTAGGTTGTGTACGAGTCGACAAAATATTCAGAAAATGAAGATATGCAGTCTAGCTGTTGCTTACTTGCACTCAACCCAGCGAATAGGTTTAGTTCACAAAATGTACTAATATGCATGTGATATGTCTGCTAGTCGATAGTTCAGTGTGCCATATAGACAAATAGCAAACAAATTTCTGTGTTCTTGAACACGTTTGGTTTTTTCTTTGGTACACCTGTCCATACTGTTTACAAATTACATACTGGACACCGAGGTTTCATCTTCCCTCTCTTGTTGTTTGCCAATACTGACATTGCGAGGTCACTAACAGAACTAGGTGCCATTCCCCAAAGTGATCTTAGCACTAAGATGATTGTCACTCCCATGCTTTAACATTGACTTACGACAGTCCCAGCGCTAAGATCAGATTGTGGAACGGGACCCTGGTCATCAAAAGACTGGTAATACAGAGGAGTACATGTATACTGGTGCATGCTTGCCTTAAGTTAACGCTTTATTAAGTCAAAATATTGCAAATACAAGCCGAGAATCGCAGATTAATAGTCAAATCATCAAAAGTACGAGGAAATGAACTGTACAAAAATTTAATTAGATCCCATTTTACGATATGTCACGAATTGCTTACCGAATGAAAGCAGCCCTTCAATGTTCTTTATATGTCACAGCATTGCAACCTGGCTGTGTAACCCCCTAACACTGTACAATGTCATCAATCAAAAGTCACTGACCACTGAAATATGTAAATTTGCATATTTTTAAGAATTTAACTTACAAATCCTCACCCTAACATTGAGAAATAATGATAATCTTGCAGATAAATATTTTATTCATATGTTGGTAAAATATTTATAAAAGTTCAATACTATAGATTAAACTTTTATGAAAAACTACCAAACCTGTGTATGCACAAACCCACAAACTTTAGATGTTTGAGGTTGAGCAAATCAAGAGTTATTTGCTTTGTATTACCAAGCCTTACAACACTTGTGACCCAGTCAACCAGATAGTCCACCTGAGTTACACTACACATTACAATCATGTGACACCAGTATTTGTTGCATACATCTTCTCGTCAATCTGCAAGATCTGAACAGTAAATCCTTTTCTGACAATCTGTTTGATAACATTTCATTATGTGTTAATACTAAATACATGCTATAAAGTACACATATTTCAAATACGATCATGTTTTCTTTCTAGTCTCATTAAAATCAGATCTTGTGCTCGCTATCGTTACACAAATATCTGAGTACATTCCATTACAGGTCGAGGCAGGACAGCCTTTCGCGAACTTTGACCACGAAAGAAGTGTACATAAGCCAATCAGAAAGCACCTTCCTCAGGACTTGTGATGCTAGTTTGAAAAAAGTTACTTCCAGTCCAGGCTATGCTTCAAGGAATATTTTGACAAAGTTCTCAATTCAAAATTTGAAAACTGAACAAAAGAACATTCTGGAATGTCTTGTAGATTGCCAAGATTTAGACTCATATCTAGTTTCTGAAATGAACCTATCTTACAGAAAAAAACAGTTGTTAAATTATCTTAGTAAAAATATAATAAAAAGGAGCCCTAAGACTCTCTTCACTTTCAAACTGAAACTGCAGTAATCTAGACTTGCCAAACATTATAGACTTGCATGGGCTGCATTGGACATATTTGTATCAGGGTCTGTATGACAGTGAGTGCCAAGATTGTACCGCAGTACAGGCTATGGACACTCTCTTCTTTTGTAAATGTTTATCCCATTGAAGTGATATGCCGAATGCTAAACTATTTGAGGTAGCATACGAAAACACAATCGAACCATCTCGTAAGCAATGCTCTGATTGGTTGGATGAAAGTCCATTCTGACAAGACCTGTAATGTGATTCCCTCAGACCTATAGGTAGCAGTAGCAAGCACTAAGATCTGATTTAAGTGAGACTGGTTTGTATTCACCCCCTACAAAGAACTTAGTTATATTCTTCTTCTCCATAGAAACTTGTTATACCCTACATCATGTACATTGGCACATATGATGACCAGTATTCTTGGGTTGTCTCAATTTTTACAGATATATTTTTCATCACCTCACTACAACTAATCACAACATCAATATATTATCACTGTCACAAGACAGTCCTTTACTATCAGCTAATATTTAATAATCACAATCTCTATCATAAACAAATGTGTTATATAGACACTAGACAGATACCTATACTTGGTCTGATGCTGGTATTTGAAAATCATTCCTGGCTTTATCTATACTACTCACCAACACGTTAAGGACCACTCGATTCTTTCATATTACAATAGTTAATCCATTATGTCATCATGACAGATCAACTTTAGTAATATGAAAGAATTGGGTGGTTCCTAACAAATTTTGAGTAGTATATCATCAGCATGAGGATTATCACTGTTTTGACACTTTTAATATTGAACATTTGTTAAAGGACCTTGGCAACTAATCAGAAATTAGTACGATGAAAACTGTCCACCCTAATGTTTTCTGATATCTTACTAATACTATAATTAACAATAACTCCTGGTAGTATCAAGGTTCAACAATTACAAGTTTTTCTGGTAGCCAATGCAACAATGCCAACAGAATATCACTGGTCTCTCAGATGATTTGCTAATCAGATGCAAAACAGTAGAATACGTTTTTTTCTGTTCGGCATATCTGGAAAAAAATCCTCTGATGCAGAAAATATTTCATCAATTTCTGTTTAAATTAAGAAGACTGACATTTCATGTCTTTCACTAGCTGGATTGACATCATCAGTTTGAAGTTGATTTTTAATGTAAACTTGCATTTTGTCTGGTAGACAAAGATATTTGTTCGACCTGGAATATCTGCATCAATTCAGTAAATGAATCAGCATCTGTATTGCCATACCTCAACCATGTTACTTCACAGGCACTCTCTAAAATAAGGGTCACAGCTCATCTAGTGATAAATCAAATACCGTAACTGACACACTGCAGTCTGGCACATATATTATTCGTTTTAACCCACTGTCAATAACTTGTTATTGTAATGTACAAATATTATTTTAACTTCTCAAACAAGGACTCCCTAATATATTTTAAAACATCTTTAGTACAATTAGTGAATAATACTCAGAGAAACATCAGATACATATCTACCTAGCATGTTTACCTTCTGGTAGAGATCATAATGTCACCATCAGTCTACAGAGCAGATTCACAAGATACACTTCTTTGGTAGTCTTTTCCTTTGTTCTTAGTTTTCGGGGAGCACAAGTGTCTGGCAGGGTCATACTCTGCCTCTAGTGGAGATTCAGGTATTGTTGGAGATTGAGGAACAGTTGGGGATGTGGGCACTCCAGATTCAGATTCATGCCGTGAACGTCCCCAACGATGTCGGGACTTCCGGGGGGAGATTTGGAGGGAGGATGGGGTGGAACGACTTGGAGAAGGAAGAGTTGGAGATGGGATATTCTTCAGCTTAGCAAAAAACTTCTTTGGTCCGGATTTTTTTGAGTTTGGTGATGTTGGTGAGAGTGGTGAGGTTGCATGTGTGGGGCTAGGCAGAGGGAGAGTCTGAGGACCTGCAATGACAGGGTTACAGTCAGAGGTAGTTGTATTATCAACAGGGAACACATTCTCCTCATTCTCTTCATCCACCGAATCAAAAGCACCAACTTCTATAGCAACTATGGATGCATGATCTAGTTTCCCAGGAGCTTTGGACATTTTCTCAACTATTTCAGAATCACGTCTTTTCCGCTCTGTTGCAGTCATTCTCCGTCGAGCGTATAATGCAGGGTTTTCAAGAATCTTGCGTTTTCCATCAGTAAGCATGAGGACATGCTGCACCATAGCTCCGCACAGCTCTTGCGCAGAACAGTTCTCCTCTGTGATGAGTTCATACTCATGAACCACACGCTCCATCTCCTTCATTGAATATATATGTCTCTCTCTGGGTTCCATCTCGGGTTTTGCATGCATGGCAGCATGGGGAGAATCAGGGGACATGTTGTTAAAGTTGTCATCATTAGATCTACGAGGAAGCGCTATCTTAGTCACAACCGGATCAAAATTGTCCGAGATCCCGTCTGTGGTGAGGAACACAACATCTCCAGCTCGACAAAAGGTCAGAGAATAAGTCAAATTATGCAGTTCTGGGTTTTTGCCATCCACTGGACCCAAAGCTCCTCCTGCATCACGGATGTCTCGCTCAGAGGAAACATCATGTGACCCTATCGTCACTTCCCGTATGCCGTTGTTATGACTGAAGACAAATCCAAAACTATCTCCAACATTCACACAGCACACAGCATGTTCATCAGAGTTGGCTACTGGGCAAATCATACAGGCACACATCGTTGTGAGACCGCCTTCTTTCTCTAGAATGATACGATGAGCTTCGTTGAATGAACGTCGCAACAACTGCAGAACATCCTGTGGAACAATCATTACATTGAATTAACAGATGTCATGGTTGTCATTGTTATACCAGTGCACCATTCACAAACATAAAGAAAAATAGTCCGACAATGTTTTTAGTTCGCCAAAACTAATGATATTTTCCATGTTCATGATGTCATAACTAACTAGTGTTATAAACATGATAAAGCAGCGTTAGAAATTGGCACTAGTGCATAGGCAGTTGAACACCAGTTCTAAACTGGAATCCCTATGGGGCATTTAATGATGCTTTCCTGTTGAAGCTTCTGCAGAACCCACATCAAGCTGAAACCATTACCTGTCTTCAGGGATAAACAAATCATCTCTAAGTACTAATGGAACCTCATGTTTTGAAACAAGTCACACATCATAAAGATGATAAAATAAAAGCCTGAGAATGTTCCTACAGGACAACGTTGGTTGATTGGTTGGTTAACGCCGCACTCAGCAATATTCCAGCTGTAAATAACAGAGTCTGGACCAGACAATCCAGTGATTGATATCATGAGCATCGATCCACTCAATTGGGATCAATGACATGCAGCATCCAAGCCAGCGTGCCTGACCACCCGATCCCGTTAGTCGCCTTTTACAACAAGCATAGTCGCCATTTTACGGCAAGCATTGGTTGCTGAAGACCTATTCTACCCCGAATCTTCATGGGTCCCTACAGGACAATGTAAAGAAGGAAGACCAACCTGTGTTGACAAGGGTGTTCTTTTGTCCTCGAATATCCTCTTGTTGATGAAGTTCATGCTGCCAAACAGAGCACAGCGAGCAGCCAGCCTGGACTTTTCCCCCCAGTTGACGCCATCAGCGATCAGCAGGACTGTGTTATTCTTCCTGGCACAGATCGCGAAGGCATCAGCAACTGGGTCACCTGCACAAAATAGTTTTTGAGAGATTATAGGTTGGTGCAATAATAATTGCAATACTTCCATGTCTACTTCCTTGAAGCTTCTACATTCCACAAACTGATTCACCATACACTAACAGGAAATCGACACACATGCTAGTGAATCGTGTCTAGACACATTTTAGGAAATATTTTTCTCTTCAAGTAAGTTGTAATGTTTCTTTAACAACTGATTCACAGCATAGTGTGGACTAATTGGATTTCATTCACAGTGTCTTAACATTGTTAGAACAATTGTTCAGCTGATACTCACTATGTAGCATTACTAGCAAATGTAGACCTACTTCATCCATCGTAATTATTGATGTATTTTTCACGTAAATCAAATACCCATCACCTATTTCAATAATAATATTTGCAGCAATGGGATAAATGTGAAGCCAAAGTTTTCCATACACTAAACTGGTAGTGTATAGAGAAATAGAGAAATGATGTTAGTTTTCTCTTCAAATACAGCAGTAATATACCATGATATACCTGAACAACTTTTTAACAGTTCATTGGTCAAAATGATGGATTAGTTGGATTTCATTTATTGTGTCCAACACTGTTCACTTAAAATTTAAATGGGGGCGGAGGAAGCCAAGTGGTAAAAGCATTCATTCATCACGCCGGGTTTCGATTCCCCACATGGGGGACAATGTGTGAAGCCTATTTCTGGTGTCCTTCACCGTGATATTGCTGGAATATTGCCAGAAGTGGCATAAAACTATACTCACTCACTAAAATTTAAATGACACTCACTATGTAGCATATACAGACGCTCACAACAATCCCTTTGTGTTTCATGATGAGCTGAGTGAAGTGAGGACTGGATGGTTACAATATGTGACCTGACTGGCTGCTATCATGCAGTGATAATATGGAGAGTGTGGCCATGACTGGTTCAGCACTGTTCTGTGAGTGAGTGAGTGAGTTGAGTTTAACGCAGCTTTTAACAGTATTCCAGTTATATCACGGCATGTCAACTTAATGTAGGTAGAAAGCCCAAAGTGATGCAGGTCTCAGACGTTTACCACTTCGGTGAAACCCACAAGCACGGGTATGGTGCTGACAAACCGAGAAACATAATCGGGGCGAACCGGGATTCGAACCCACAATCATAGGTTTCTGGCGTGCCCTAGGGTCACAACTCTGCACAGGAAATCGCGGTGCCTTAGACGACCCCCAGCACTGTTCAGTGCTATTTACAGGTCAAGACATAACTTTAATGTTGCAGACTGCATCATAAAATATCAGTTCCAGCATGAATACAGAGTAAGGGCCTACCTGACATCTTGCCATTGATAGGGTGCTGCTCATACAAGGAGATACAGATGCCATACGCCTGCTGCTCCTTCTTGTTCCATGACCAGCAGCCTGCGACCTTCTTCACATTGCCATCTAAATATTACACATAATCCTGTTACTATTAACTGCCCATGTGAGGCAATAGTCCACAGTGTTCTGTTAAGTTCATTTGGAAATCGAATTTTAGAACAAAAAAATCTGACAACCATTGAATTTTGGGCCAAGAAGAAATAAAAGGCCAAATTAAAACATTTACTGTTAAGATACATAATGGTACAGAAGGAAATGCATAATGTATCAAATTAACACTAGCCCGCTAGCCAGGGGCTAGTACAAAATGCTGGGGGCAAGTACAGATTTCCCAATTTCTCCAAATTGTATTAACATTACAAGGGCATTTTATCTTTACCCAAGCAAGGAAAGCATTGTTTAGTTCTAACCCTGTATCAATGGTATTGCAGACATGGTAGAGAGATAAAACATGTTAGAATCACAATGCGCTGGTGTTTCAATCAGTCATTTCAGTTTTACAATACATACAGCATATTAAAGTCTCACATTTCTATAGTGGATGGCCATAAACTAATGATAATCACTGATAATAGTGTTCTTGACATTGTAACAATTTTCTTGTTTGTTGGGAGAATAAGGAAACTATCCCACCTTTATCATGTCTAATCCTGATCTGATGCACCTCGCAAGGTAAGACCTGTTCTATTACAATATAGATCTTGATTATTGGTAAGATTGTCTTGACTGGGTGCCACCATTTTGTATGAATCAAATACAAGTGATATGAGAGGTGGATTCTGATTGGTCAATGGCAGAGACATTGCACGTAATAGCCACTGGTGGCACTACAATCAAGTCACGATATGCCAGTGTAGTTCAGCAAGGGTGGAAACTGGACTCTTGTAGTCAGTTAACACCCTTGCCTTGGGAAGAGGAGAAAGCTTAGCTTATGACAGCCAAAATGTAACAAATAACATCGAACAAAACGGATACAACAGGACAAGTTCGGGATAGTCAATTTTAGACTATTGGCACAGACTTTATGGTTGAAGAATGCTACATAAAGCTAGACCCTACTGTTCTCATCCTTGTCATCCACATCCGCGAGCCCCTTGTCCGGTCCGGTGTAGCTGGCAAACAGCTCCTCCTCCAGCTCCTCCAGCTGCACCAGGGGCACATCTTCATACGACGAGCCGTGATATGTGTCTGTGCCGAACTTGATCTTCTTTACCTTCCTGTAGTCACAGAAATAGTATCAGACATCAGTGAGGATTTCAGTATCGAACTGATCAAAGTGTTCATACTTAAAATAAGAGCATTTTATCTACTACTACTAAGACAACTACTACTAATTGATCCTGGTTTAAACTTCTATGATGAAGAGGACATGGAACATAACATCTACATTTGTACTTACCACAGATCACATTTCACAATGATAAACATGACAAATGCAGATATGGCTGAGTAAGGGGATGAAATGATGCGTATAAAAGCAGACTGGAATTCTGTGAGCATTTTTGTGAAATACAAGTGTTTGTCTGTATGCAAGTGTTTGACTGTCTGTTCATGCTGAAATGCAGCCATGAATGAAATTAAAACTAGGGAGGGAGTGAGTGAGTGAGTGAGGTTTTACGCCGCTTTTAGCAATATTTCAGCAATATCACGGCGGGAGACACCAGAAATTAGCTTCACACATTGTACCCATGTCGGGAATTGAACCAGGGTCTTCGGCGTGACAAGCAAACGCTTTAACCACTAGGCTACCCTACCACCCCTAAAACTAGGGATGTTGCAAGCATGTAAAAGACTTTTCAATATTTTATCATGTAAATATGATACACATGTACATTCATATACAGTAGAATTCCTTTCTTTTGTATTTTCTATTAATATCAGAAAGTACGAGAGGTGTTCATTAAAGATTTCCCCTAAACCACTTAGGGTTATCATATTTGGTTGAAATTTCACATGTGTAATGATACATGTATCTATGGGTTATGTCTGAATTTGCAGCACCGAACTATTAATCTTACCACTTTTACAGGTGTTATGATTGAGTAGGGTGTGACAATTGAGCCAGTAGAATACCGAGCAGTGATTAGGTTTTTATATTTGAAAGGTCGCACACCAAAAGAAACTTTCAATGAAATGAAAGCAACTTATGGGGAAGATGCCCCATCATATGACGTTGTTAAACACTGGCATCGCCAGTTCAAGTGTGGTCGGACATCTGTGGAAACAGCTGCCATTCCTGGTCGCCCCCATTCAGCCATTGAGGAGGACACTATCCATCAAGTGGAGACCGCCATTTTGGCAGACCGACGTATAACTGTTCGCCAGTTAGCACAAGATGTCAAGATCAGTGTAGGGTCTGTGGAAAAAATCATCCATGACAATTTGAACATGCATAAGGTGTCAGCACGATGGATTCCCAGGTTGCTCACACCTTTCCAAAAGCAGGAACGAGTCAATTGCTCAAAGCATCTTTTGGACATGTGCCAAAAAAAAACCAGGCAAACTTTTTTGACAGACTTATCACACAGGATGAAACATGGGTCCATCACTATGATCCTGAGACTAAAGTTCAGTCGATGCAATGGAAGCATGTGGAGTCACCACCCCCAAAGAAGGCACGTGTCCAACCCTGTGCAGGCAAGGTCATGCCCACGGTGTTTTGGGACCAGCACGGAATAGTGATGATGGATTTTTTGGCAAAGGGTACCACAATTACAGGAGCTTATTATGCTTCACTGCTGCGGAAATTGCGGGACGCTATCAAGCTTAAGAGGCGTGGCATGCTGACCAAGGGTGTCCGTCTCCTGCAAGACAATGCTCCAGTACACAACTCTCATGTTGCCCAGACAGAAGCGCGGTCCTGTGGCTATGAAATCCTTCCACATCCTCCTTACTCTCCTGATCTTGCACCATCTGACTTCCACCTCTTTCCAACCATGAAGTCATTTTTGAAGGGAAAACGTTTCACAGATGATGAAACACTGATTTCTGAGTCAAGTCCTGGTTTGAGACGCAAAATGAGGGCTTTTACAAGTGAGGTCTCCATAGTTGCATAAAACGATGGGAGAAGTGTGTAACTCTTGGTGGTTCCTATGTGGAGAAAGACTGATACCTATGCCAAGTTTCATTCCACTAGGTCCATCGGAAGTGGGTCAGGGGAAATCTTTAATGAACACCCCTCATAGCTCCTAATCAATTAACTCAATTTCTTACACACCTGTGGGTGAGAAACCCATTTGAGATAACTGGTATCAAACATATGTGTGAGATCGAATTCCAGGCCCGTGATTGGCTACTCCATGGTGATGACCTAGGGTCAGATGATGACGGACTACTTTCCTGAGTGTAAGTCATTCATAAGTTTCTCGTGCTTCAGTCAAATGTTCACCTACGTCTGTATTGAAAAACAGGACCGTGTAATTAATAATAAAAATAAACAAACTCTTCCTCGTCTGCGAGTTTGTTTGTTATTATTATCAGTTACATTATCTGTTGTTATGTCAACATTATCGTGTTTTCAGGGTGTAAACCCCCTGGCTGCCACAGCGACACATGTCCCTTCTCTTCAACCCTCACTTCGAAATCGAATAAAATTCAAAATACATCACGCAAACACTTCACAGTTTTGAATTCCCCCTTCTGTTTATCATTTACTGTCATTTTAGGCAATTCAAAATTACTGAAAGTTAGGTACATTGTAAATCTCGCCAAATCACAATTCACGGGGTTATATATAAATATTTACTGTGTGTTTAGAAATGTAAATATCGGATATTTACTTGAATAATTAAAGTAGAAAAATACCATATTAGCGATCACGGGTATCAAATCACTAATGATAATTCTGACACGTCGCTAATAAGCCTAGAATCGTCTAGAATGTTTTCGAAAATATGCATACACGAACGCCGAAGCGTTCCGCCATATTGGATTGTGTTTACAAAATGCCGGTTATGAGACGCCTATACTCGATCAGGTATATTTCAAACTCCGCTGCTATACATGCATCCCTGAATTCCTCATACATTTTCGAAACAATGGATAAATGGTCTTTGTCACCAATGCAAATTATCTAGATGAAATCATGCGAAATAAATTAGGTATGGAAACGAAAACTGCTCGGAAAATTGTACTTGTTGAAATGTAAACAAAGCAAAATTCAGATTTTACACTGTGTAGCATTAAAGAGGTACTTTCGTCTAATTGTTGCATACACTGGCTCGATCACGCGTTTGATAATATTCATGGGAAGAGTATCGTTGCACTAATTATGGAATTACACATATATACATTACAATGGTGTGGTAAATTCAACAGAAGCCGTAAAAGTTCCGTCCTGTGTGACGACATGACTGACGCTAAATCACGCACAACGATGACGGTAGTTATCTGCATTTCAGACAATTCTCTTTGTTACATTGGAAAACATGGTAAACAAATACCAGTACGCAGATTGTCAGAATGTTTCTGATTACTTACGTGACACATTTATGTGTATACGATCCCTCAATCAACGAAAATCTCCTTTGGAAATCCTGCGTACTGTTCTCAGTGAACACGCCATTTTGTAAAAGTCGGTCACCGGTAGTGATGTCATATGGAAGTAAACATTGTTGTACATATTTGGTCATTTCTTTGAGGTGTTAACTTTCAACTTGGCACCCAGCGTGTTCTTGGTTTTTGTCTAGTATGCATTTTCATCATCGCCTTGATAATCCACAGATAGGACGGAAACCTTTTTGTGTAGGGTCACATTATTTATGAGTAGTAAGCAGCACATAGGATGACGTCACTTATGACAGTGGTATTATGTATTAATGCGCTACTGCAATCATGAGACAAAATTCATTGGTTCGATGCTAAAAAGGTGCGATTTTAGGGTGTGTAAGAAACAGATTACTGCACTCGTGTCTGTCAGATACCATTGATCTTACAACTCGTTGTTACAAAGCGTATCTAACTCGCTTTCGCTCGTTAGATACGTTTTGAAACAACTCGTTGTAAGATCAATGGTATCTGACAGACACTCGTGTAGTAATCTCTATTTATCATCCAAAACTGGCTTCCACCTTAGATATCACTTGGATGTTATCAAGAGATATCTCCTATGAGATACCAGGAGATATAGCTACAATGAAAGTGCATCACAATGCTTTGCAGACCATTGTGATGTCATGGGTTACAATGACGTCACAATCGCATGACATCACTGATCTGTCACTGAAGCTGGTTAGCAGCAGATACAGTCTGCAACATACATACAAAATGAAGAATTTGGAAGAATGATTTTGGATGATAAACAGAATCTTACCTGAGATTCTGTTGACATGGTTATCAAATATATCAACACTTAAATCTTTAAAAACATTTTAGATCAAACGACATTGGTGAGATTCTCGATGTATCAACAGGGATAGACACCATTGTTCATATCCGACTATCATTTCAGACTAGTGGTCACGTAAATAACTAGATTAGGTCTGTCTATACTGTTACTTGTCTCGGACTAACAGACCAGTGGCCGTGTCTATCCCTGTATCAACCAAAAGCTTACAGAGGAATCAAACTTAGTCCTATCATGCCCACTGGCAGTCCTAACAAGTTTGATTAAAGAGGTGCTCAGATCTGATAATGTATTTCATTCTAAATAACCTACATACACAAGACAATGTCTTACTTCCACCCTCAGCACTAATTACAATGTCTGGATACAGCCCATACAGATTAACACCAGACTGTGGAGCCGACTCCCTAGAGTTAAACTTGCTTGTTGAGTTGTATCACGATGAGTGTGGTAATAAAGTTGGATTCTGGGGTCCTTTTAACAATGTAATATTAGAACCTAGCACACCTGGCCGCCCTCCCTGCACCCTCTCTAAACAGTGATAGAAACTAACAGTTTAGTCCCCTAGTCCTTGTAATGTTAACATATAGCAAAACCCTTAAAAAGGGCTAATGTCTACTAGTCCTTATGATACCTTAATTATTGGGCAGTTTGGCAAGAACTATAGGACCAGTGCCAATTTCTGACGCTGCTAAATAATAAATCTTCAACGTATGGGTTATGAGGACTCCTTGTTTTTCAATCTTAATTTTAAACACTAAATATGATTCATACTCAAGGTCATTTTCATTAATCACCAGTATATCCATGTCAAAAACTAATACAATTACATAACTTCAGAAATACTGATGGACTCTAAGTGTTATTTTTTTA